AGTGGTTGTTTTTTTGCGGTATTTTTAAATAAACGTCACAAAGTTTCATATTTTTATAAGATTAATGACTTTTTTTATAAAATGCCACTAAATTCTTATATAGCGACGTTTGGATTTAAAAACGCTACTAAAATATATTTTCTAATAAGTGTTTTTGCATTCCTTAAAAAACCCTCCAAACGTTAGAGGGAGAGATCAAACTTAGGACTTTATTGTTAATAGTCGTATGCTCTAACAACTAAATTGCTCCAATGTTTTTAGCAAAAGATTATTCAAGGTATTTTTGGTAAAAAAATGCTTTGAATAATCTTCAATAAAAATTAGAGGAGATTATTCAAGGTATTTTTTACTAAAACCGCTTTGAATAACTCTATTCAATTTTTTGTAAGGGATTATTCAAGGCATTTTAGTCAAAAATACCTTGAATAATCCAAAAAAAAAAGACAAGCAGAACACACTTTGAATAATCCCTTTCAATTTTTTCTAAGGGATTATAATTTTAAAAAATGAAAGAGGATTATTGAAGGCCTTTTTTTTTGTAGAAAATGCCTTAAATAATCCAAAAAAATGAAAAAGATTATTCAAAATACTTTTGGCCAGAAATGACTTGAATAACTCCATTCAATTTTTTTAAAAATTATTCGAGGTATTTTCTAGCTAAAAACACCTTGAATAATCCGTTTTATTTTTTGAGGAGATTATTCGAGATTTTTTTTTGTTAGAAATACCTTGAATAATCTTTAAAAAAAAATTGAAAGAAATTGAATAATCCAAAAAAAAAATCAAAGGGGATTATTCAACTCATTTTTTGCCAAAAACGCTTTAAATAACCCCATTCAAATTTTTGTAAGGGAATATTCAATGTATTTTCCTAACCAAAAATGCCTTGAATAATCCCAACAAAATAGGAGAAAATTATTGAAGGCGTTTTTTATAGAAAACGTCTTGAATAATTTCTCAAAAAATTAAATAGATTATTTAAGGTGTTTTTAGCTTGAAGTGCCTTGAATAACCCTATTTAATATTTTGTAAAAGATTATTCAAAGTATTTTTTGGCCAAAAACACCTCGAATAATCCCAAAAAAATGAAACAAAATTATTCAAGGTATTTTTGGCTAGAAACGCCTTGAATAACCCGATTCAAGTTTTTGTAAAAGATTATTCAATGTGTTTTCTGGTCAAAAACACCTTCAATAATCTCAAAAAAAAAAATTGGAAGGGATTATTGAATGCGTTTTTAGCCAAAAACGACTTCAATAATCACACTTTTCTACTACTAAATTTTACTTAAATTTCAAACCCGTGAGACCCTTTTTTGCTTTTCTTTTTCCTACTCATTTCTTTCATTTCTGCTCATTTTGGATCACTTTTTTCTCATTTTTTGCCTAAATTTCAATCATTTTGTAGTCAATTTTTATCTTCTTTCCTTTCATTTTTGTAAATTTCAAGTTAGCTTTCTTGCATTTTGGGTCAAATTTCTAAACTTTTAGTCTGATTTGTTGAATCAAATTCTTAAACTTCCTATCTGATTTGTTGTATTTCTGTCGTCGTTCAAGCTCCATTGGTAAGCTCTATTTCAACATTGACAATTTTCAATGTTTGACCTTTTTTTTTTACTAATTTATTTCGTTATTACAGTTTTGAGTTTGGTTTTGTTTTTTTGGTGAGAAAAATTCAAGATAGAACCAAAAGTGAAAAAAATAAGATTTTTCTCTGAAAAACTCGAAATTAAACATTGAATTTAGTTACAAACACAAATGAAATTTTATTTCAACAGAATATTTTTTAAATTACTAAAAAATTATTATTTGTTAGCATGAATTTGTTGATTCATTCAATATATGTTTAGGAAAGCATTCTGAAATAGTTTATTATGTTATTGTTTCATCTTATCTTGACATTTATTTTGTTTGTTTTTTTAGATCATGGTGCTTGATGAATCAACTTAATTTTGCTTGAAAAGATTTATTGTGCATGAAAACCATCAACAACAGAAGATGGTAGTGATCAAGGTGAAAAAAATCTTTCGTCAAATAATAGTGTTTCAAATCTTACAAATATCGATTCCATACATTTTAAATTTTTGATTAATATACTAAAATAATTTGAATATTATTGCATGTATTAAACTTTAGATCCCATCCATATTGAAACAAATTAGGCATTTATAATGTTCAATTTATGAATTTAAGTTTATTTTTATTTATTTTAATTTTTTTATTTAATAATAATAATCAATATTAAAATAAATTTTAAAAAATAAATTTTTAATTTAATTACATTTGTACTTAAAAATGCTTCTAAATGTCAAAATATAACGACACTTTCAACTATAAATGTCACTAAAAGCCTAATCACCTATAGTGTACCCATTTTTTATATTCCAAGAAACCATAAAGTTATGGAGTTTCTTGTGCCACTCTTTTGATCCAAAAAGAACATGAAGGGTTGGAAAAGTTCTTTTAATGTCACTAATTTCATTATTATTTAATTTAATTTTCATACTTGGACTATACAAAAAGAAACGACAAATTTTTTCAAAAGATTAATGGCCGCCTACACTTATGGTATTCATAATTAAGAATCATAACAATATATAAGGCAGTAGATTTATGGTGAATTGTTGTCCTCTAGGTAATGATGGTCTGGCAAAGAGAACTGAGCTTGGTTCCAAATAAATTAAAAGATAAGATATAGTATAGCTTATTTAATCCTGTTAATTTGCAACTTGATTGATTTTAAAAGAAACAAAATTACAGAAACTGCATTCTGTATATATGCTTACAAGCAAGCATAATGTTTGTCTTGTTCATGATTTTGTTTGCTTCTATTTGATTTTGATTCCATGCAACTTAATTGGCTCGGGTTGCTTTTGATGGTGACTTTCTTTGACTTGTTCCTGGTTTTTTCTGCTTCTGGCTGGACTGTGTTTCTTTCTTTGTTTTCTTTTTTTTTTTTTTTTTTGAAGAGTTTAATGAAGAATAAAATGCTAAGAATTTAACCACATTATTAGTTGCTCTGCAATTCCTGTAATGGCTGAACCAATGGAGTCAAAATGGGCGTTTAATTAGTCTTTTGGCTTTTCCTTTACATCCCAGTCAGCAGCTCTTTTTTTAATTAATTTGCTTGACGACAGATCGATGAACTCATTTATTAGTAATTTATTATAATTAATAATAAAATTGTCTTATTATTAATTAACTTAACAGAATGGAAACTTGATAAACAGGAGAGCCTTATCTGAAAGTCTTTGCAGCGGAAGATAAGGAAGCAGTTTAATGATCTGGGAAGAACATTAAACTTGAACTAAGAAGAGTACATTTGCAACTTGATCTTAGAATAAAATCTATCTCAACATGTTTTGTTGAAGCACCTCTCAGCTTTTTATTTTGGTTTCTTGCTGATGCATAGCTGCTAGAAGTTAATAGTTTTTTATCATAGTCACATTGCGTAGAAAAACCAAGTTCTAGTGCATAAACAGAATCTATGCTTATATATTCAATCTAATAATGATCCCAAAGTTTTTTCTTGTAACAGGATATATTAAAATCTTAATTCTCAAAATGATGTACTTCTAATCTTTTTTTCCGTAAATAAGGATTTTTAAATTATCTAACTCCATGTCATCCTCTAGATGATCAAATTGCCGACATGGCAATTAGTAGCATTTTATAGTTTTTTTTTTTTTTTAATTTCTTCTCCTTCTCCTGTTATACTTTTCTTCTCTTCCATGCGAACAGCACTACGAATAAAATTAACCGATACTAGTGTGATAATGCTAGGCTCAAATTTACCCAATTTGCAACACCCAATAAAGCTAACTTCATGAAACCTCGCTTTTGTCTTTTTTTTTTCTCCATAAACAACTTATTCATTTCCTTTGGCTTGCCACACTAAACAATTGCAATACTTATCGTTCATGATGGATGAGACCTCTCAGCAAAAGATAAGAAAATTTATAAAACTCCTTTAAAATCTCTTATTTTTAGCAATTAGATAATCATTATATTTCAAGTTTTTCAATCACATCTTTTTTGTGGCATTCTATCAAACACTGAACCTTCAATATCCATTTCAAATTTTCAGCTCACATATCTTTTGATATGCAACAAAGCCATCATTACTTTTAAGAAAAAAAAATTACCAACAACTTATGAAATATCAATGTATTATGACAGAATTCATGTAAACAATGAAAAAAAGAATTACATCCATTGTAGAGTCACTTCCTTCTTTTTTTTTTTTGGATAAACGAAAATTTTTTATTTCAAAAATTCAAAGAAACAGTGCAAACCTCTGGTAGAAGAAATAACAAAAAAAAAAGGAGTACAATCAACAATTATTGACTTGTTCTCCGATTATTACAAAGAGTATTGTTTGAATGCTTAATGAATATATTAGAATAAAATTGAACAAAAATGAACCCATCGCAGCAACTTATTGAAACACATCTTCTGGAGTTTGTTTGTGTGCTTCCTTGAATTCCTCTGCCTAAAAATATAATAAATAGATGCTCGCTATGCAAGTTTGAGTAGAATAGAAGTCTATTCAGCAAGTGTTTCAAGGAAAAAATTCAAATGATAATCCAGAATTTTTTAATGTACGTTGGTAATGAGAGAAGGATCTTAAATTATTTTATATTGTAACAAAAAGATTAAACAATGATGGTTAATAGAAGTGGTGAGGAAAACGAAAAGTAAGAAAACGAAAAATGAAAAAAAAAATAGAGCCAACTTCCACGTAAACAACCATACACATGTAGACTATGACCTGTAGTTGACATGGCTTTTAGTACAATGTCTAAAGAAAAAAGATTAAAAGTGCCTCCCTTTGGTTATAAAGATTTTAATATACACTGATATAGGAAAAAACTCAATGATCCCATATGTCCATATGAACAAGTAGAAAATATTAAAAAAAAAAAAAAAAACTCAGATGAAAAAATAAATATTTCAGAACAACAAAAACAAGTCACTCAAAGGCAGCCTAAACCAAGTGAACTACTTGATTTCTGCAATAATCTCTTCAGCAGCCTTACCCCGTTGGAGTAAAACAACAAATGTGTTCTATCAAGAAAACTATTTATCAGTCTTTTTCATTCTTCGTATATCACACTTAATTCAACATTACTGTTCAAACTTCACTTTGCTACTTCTGTCTTCCCTTCCTTATCGTCAGCTGATATTTCATTTTTTTGCGTCTCAGGCACATTCACTGCTGCCGCTGCCTCAGGTGCTGGTTTGGCTTCAAGTGATTGTGCTGATTCAATCTCTGGGTTGTAGGTCTGCTCAATTGGCTTTGCAGGTTCCTCAGTTTCCTGATTCCTAGTCACATAGGCCTCTTTTAATTTCTCGGTATCTGATGGTGCCTGCTTCTCTGGCTCTGATAGCTCCTGTTTCACTGGCTCCACCGATTTTATTTGCACGGGCTCCAGTGATACTGTTTTCACAGGCTCTACTGGCTCTTGTCTCACTGGCTCCGATGATTGTTGTTTCACTGGCTCTAGTGATTCGTTTTTCGATGGCTCTGATGTTGTGTTGTCACTCTCAGCTGCACCCTTCTTTTCATTCTGCAAAGAATACCAGTTGAACTAATAAAACAACCCACAATTTCTGAAGTCTATCAAACAAATATCATTTAAAGACGCTAAACGATGCAGCATTTTATCTAGGATCCTTTTTTGTGCATGAATGAACCAGTGGACAAGTTGCAGTTAATAAATTTAATCCAACAAATGTACCTCCTTATTATTGCCTTGAAATATTGTTCAACCAATCCACGTTAACTAAGTTTTCCTTGGTCATTCTTCTTGCTAATGCACATTTGACAAAACATTAATCTCATTCTTTGAGAAGAAAACAAACATAAGTATGCACATTGACGAAGTTTTACAGATAAGGATGTCTAGAAAGAGTTTCAGATACATTCCAAAATGATAGTAATCATAAAGCACCTAATGGGTCGGTGACTTCCCTTAAACCATCAGTCTAATGCATTGTATGGTGGCCACCAACAAGTATGCTGCTCAATAATAGTTTTCATTTCACTCATAATAGAATTTATGGAAACATTTATTACAGATCTTCTATCAATTACATTATTTTTTGCACCTGTGCTTTGAGGGGGGAAAATGTACTTTTCAATTTTCATAGTGTCAAGGATCAAAATGCACCCTTGTAATTTGAAATCAATGCGAACAACTGATGCCTGAAATTCATTGATATATCATGAATGAACTACAGAGAACCTTCGTGCAAAATTGATCTTTCTTTTGGACATATAATTCATTTCTTTGTAGAAAAATTAATCAAACCCACATGAGAATGCCGAAAGATCTAAAAGGCAGACAATGCTACTATTCTACCCCCATAAAACACGAAGCGACCACATAATGATACCAAAAAAAAAAAAAAACAAAGAGGAAACAAACATTCTGTAGGTACATTAATCTAAGGCTTGTTTATTTCTGATAAAACCAAGATTTGATGGATTGGAATAAATGTTCAAGATATCTTGCACTGAATCTCCAGTTCAAAGTATCTAATAGCCATCAACTTTAGTGCTCATTATATCCAAACAACACATAAGAGACGGCCACAATTTTACATTAAAAAATTCACCACAATGTATTAAGAGTAGTAAATTATTGATACGGACAGGATATCAGACAAGCAAAAAGACATGGGGTCAGTTTAAATATGGCTAGACTATTAAAAATATCATTTTTTTAATACAGTGCTTCGAATCATGACTGTCAATATTAAATCAACAGGAATTATATGAGGAATTATTTTATCTTCTTTTTGAATCTTTCCTTTACTTTCACTTTCTCACCAACCAAACGGTAGAAAACCAGTCATAATTCAATTGAAGTGCCGTTAAACGAGAAACATATTGAAAAGACAAATAAGACCGTATTCCAATAAATGATTCCATCATCCCCTGCTTTAACCAAATCACATCATTCACTAAATCAAATGGAATGAAGCAGCAAGCAATTAACATATGCTTCGAAATTAATATAATGACCTAATTGGTATCAAAAGACCAACGATCCTGTTGATCAAATTCATCAAATTTAGTAACAATTGCAGTTCCATTGACATCTAAAAACATTTAAGGTAATAGTTAACGTTATAGCTCCCAAAACCAACATTAGAACTTCTACTAACAAAACTAATAATAATTTCAAAACGCCAATAAGATTAAACCCTTTCTTCAATTTATACCATCAAAATGTTTGGAACGTGTGTGTGTGTGTGTGTGTGTATATATATATATATATATAGTTATAGTTATAGTTATAGTTATAGTTATAGAATTAGAAAGAGATACCTCTTTGAACAAGTTACTGATGGATCGTTGCTTGTTTGCATGATCATCAACCTTGTCATCATTAACAATATCAACCTGCCTGGCCTCAACAAAATCAGCTTCTACCTTCTTTTTACCTTTTGCAGCAACAACATCAGCAACCTTCTTTGCTTCAGGAACCTCCGGAACAGGCTCTTTCGTCTGCTTAGGAGGCGGTGCAGGAACCGGGACATCCCTTTCGTCACCCTTCAAAACCTTAGGCTTGGTGGCGCAACCTCCCATGTTTCCTCCTTAGCTTTCAAAAACCAGAGAGCCTATTCTAAACGCTCGTTAATTCCTTTGTTTTTCTTCACCTGTTTTGGGTGAGCGAGAGGAAGATTGAAGAAGAGAGAAAGAGAAGATTTAGGAGATTTATAGGGAAAGTTAAGACAGCAAGTTTTTTAAGGTTCTTTGTCTTCCGACAATTGTTCTGCGGTAAAGAAAGAATGCAAAGACACAAAAAATAGACAAACCGGCAACAGAAACAGAAAGAAAATTTTAAATTGTTTCTACAATAACAAGAAAAACAGTTGTCTCAAGCTGTAAAGTTTTCGATGACTCTAATTTGTTGTAGCGTTGATTAAGAGAAAAGATTTTTGTTTTTCTGATGGTGGGGCTTTCTTAATTTTAGTTAGTGGACCACGTGGAAGAAATTGAGGAGCATGAGTTGCCTATAGTTTTTTCTTGGAAAATGACTCTTTATTCGGCCATGGATGCCTTTAATGTGAAAAGAGGAGGGACCATGGCATGCATGGAAATGGGTTGTAAATGACATTGTATTCTGTGTCAAGTCTTTCACATGTTTATTTTGCTTGTATATATTTGGAATTGGACTCCCCTGTTTTTACAAAATATTTAACATCAAGACAAACCAACAATCATGATTGAATTAATGCAGTTTTGAAGTTACATTTTTGTTTATGGAAAGCATAATAAAAACAACAGACAATTAAAGAATTCATTCAGTGACTGATGGATTTTATAAATATAGCCTAAATGAATTCATTTTCTAATATTTCCATTTCAAAGAAAGTTTTTAAGTTTGTGGCTGTGGTAGTTTATTTTGGTTTGTTTGGATGATTTCTATATTTTTTTTTCAAATTTTAGCTTGTCAGGTAAGAAGAAAGAATAATATATATAGTACATAAAAGGAAGAAAAAATTATATCTTTTGGTAAAAATGATCACCCCAGTTCAAGCCTAAATGTGCTTTAAATTAAATAAAAATATTTTTATTAATTAAATATATTTCAAATCGGTTCCACGCACAAAAAATTTTATCCAAGACCCAACTTCAACTATTAGAAAAAGAGAGCATTCCTACTCGATCAATCAGGGAACATATAATGTCCAATCTTAAAATATACATTCAATTCAAACAACACGAAATGAAAAGAAATTATTAGACATTAATACAAGTTTGATCGTTTTCATGATGACGACTAGGACTGCAAATATGATCCAACTGGATACAATCTAAGAGGCAGAGTTATGCTAAAAGGGTATTAAAACAGTTCCAACGTCAGGGGAAGCGACGTGACGTTACAGGTTTGCAGGGTGGCAGAATATGCTGAAATATTCCTTTATTCAAAGAATAAGAACCATAGATGTAGGGTGCCATAATTACATCGTGTTGGCCACTGTTTCCATTAATTCTTTTTTTTTATGACAACAAAATAAATTTTTTCCCTAATCTCAAATTAATGGAGAGTAGCCAATTTGAAAGGTGTCTTTTCAAGACAAAAGCTGAGCTGTAGATGCCAAGTCACTGAGATACCTATTAAACTGCCACAGCGTGAGGACCTCATTGGACCTCACTCTAGTTGGTAGATTTGCTTTGTTAGCAGCATCCTTTTGATCATTCTGACAGACAGAGAGGATAACAAACTCCTATTATCCAAGACTGCAGCAGCTACGTCCCATCTCCCATGGGCCATGGCCATGGGGGATTTTCATAATTTGGATGAATAGTACTTATTTCGAGTGGCTGGAGAGAAACCTCCCGATCATCGTTTTTACCCATATCTTGCCAGTAATTTTATTATACTAATCCTTCACTATCAGAAAAGATTAATGTAAATAAATGAATGGTATTATATATACTAATTAAGCCAATTGAAAGATATTCCAAAGCAACATTGTTACCCTTATATTTACTTGTGGGTCCTCTCGTCTACACTTCAATTCAAACCATGTTAAATGGAAGTGAAACTGTGAAAGTGAATGAAGCAGACAAGGCTCTACCAGTTTCATTTAGGTTGCTGGAAATTGTACTTTTTTATGCTTTACCTTGCCGATGAAATTGGCTTTGCAGGCAACTTTTTCCTAGCTTAATGTGACATTATTTTACTTTTCTTTTTTGTCTTTGGCTGACAGGCTTTTATTTATTTTTTATCACAACAAAGTTTAAAACCAAAGAAAGTTATCTTATCTTTAAAATAAAGATAAATTGTCAATCCACCAAAAAATTTATGGATTCTGATTGACAGGCTATTACCATACAATACACTTATCCTTTTAACACTCGATGGTGAAATTAAATGAAAATAAGATTCAGCTTTAAATTTACAATTAACTACGTTTTGTAACTTTAAAGGTAGGATTATTTGACTACTCTGGAGAAATAAATTACTCGTAAATCTGCTTGTGTTTTTTTTTTATTATTGGTTAGAACTTAAAAGGAGAAGGGACTTGTCATTGCAAATTTGATAGTTGTATTATACAGTTATGAATAGTCGGATTGTCCGGACAAATTGACATTCATGCTCATGACTTTAAACTATAATCTAATCGACCCTTTCATGCTTAGTGTTTAGAGAGGTTGGGCTTCCAATATTTTATGTTTTCCTTGGTAGGAAACGCTTTTAGTTTTAGGGCCATGAATTCTATGAAGCAAAGCATTTGGCAGTAGCTTATTTGCTGGTAATAAATATTATTACTACTACTACTCCTGCGGAAAGCATGAAGCATCATGTGAAAAGAAAGGTAGGAAAAGGTGGGAGAAACAAAGAGAGTCAAGGACAGCAGAAAGAAGAGTCAAAAGAGTCAAAGGCTAACATGTGATGCATCAGTTACACTCCTGTCTTCTCAGAGACAGAAACCTAGTTAGCACTTAGCAGTCATGCCATGGACCTTCTCTTTTTGAAGTTTCAAATTCAAATGGAGTAAAAATTAGTAATTCAGTAACTAATCTACTGCTGCAAGAAATCCGATATAATAATAGTAGCTTATACTCTGTATTCTGTTCTTTTCTCTCCTTGTTCACAAACTAACCATCATCAAAAGTTGTAACACTAGATTTTCCCCTTTCCAAAATTCAACACCCCCAAAACTAAAGGAATGGTAGAAGCAAAAATTCACAATAATATCCTAGTAGTATACTCAAAAGTATCCATAAAAAGCATACCCTACCTTCATCATGAAGAATTGAGCTTTTTATCAAAAGCATAAATCAGTTTACAACCAATGAAACGTGATAGTACTATAGTCTTGGTGGTTGGAAATGAAAAGGAAAATTAAAAATGTAAACTACATAAAGGAAAAAAATAACATCCAAAGTAAGAATAATCAACATCATTTTCAATTTTTTTTAATTTAATATGGAGCCCAATCAAGAATCAAATTAAGATATACACAAAAAGCAATCAATTGTTCTTATCAATAACAATCCTGCCTAAAGACAAAGCAGCACAACAGAAGAAGAAACCATGAAGGCATAGATCAAGATCAAGAACCCAAAATGCAATGCCCAGTTCCTCTTGAACTTTGCAAAGTAACTCTCAGGAGGCTCCTGGTAATGAATCTCAAACTCATCCTCTTCTCCAAACCCATCAAGAAACTCACCATTGTTAATCCTCAACTTCATTTCTCTCAGCTTCTCAGTAGCCAACCCTAGTGTCAGTTTGTGGCACCTCCTCTGGTACTTGAACCCATTGATGCACCTCAAGATCTGAGCCACTGAAACATAGAAAATGAGATGGGATAGGGAAAGCAGAGTAATGGGAACCCAGCAGTGGCGGCACTGGAGACGAGTAGACTGACCCTGAGCCAGGAACACAAGGCCTAGGAAGATGAAGAAGAGCTGGAAAAGCTTGTGGAGCTCCTTCTTTTGGAGGTCTATAGCTCTTTTCTTCTCCAGGGTTTTCTCAAAGTGAAGTTGGATTATAGTGTTTAATGCTTGAAGAGCAGTTTCTTTTGGGATTGTTTGGTGGTGGTGGTGCTCAGTTTGATGATGTGTTGGCTCATAGTCTGCCATTGATGTCCAAAGAAGGAGAGAGATCAGAGCTGTGCCTGTGTCGGTGTGGTGAGTGAAGGCTGAGGCCCTGAGCCCGAGGGAAGGAAGTGGTACTACTTTCTTTGGTAGGACTTTTATTTATTATAGTACTTGGTTTAATTCATTGAAAAATGAGTGGCTCGGATCTCAATGTAGTTTAACTTAAAACTATTGTTGGTTGTTGATATCTGATGATCGACAAAAGGCTGATCTTTGGGTCTGAATGAATGGTACCATTGGGGATGGTGTAACTGTGACCTTAGGATCCTTTATACATATATTCTTGTTCATGAATTTTAGTCATTCAATTCTATTACAGCAACTGTGAATTGAGGTGAGGAACCGTTTGCAGTAAAAACTAAAAAGAGTGCAAGAGTAAGGATTTAGGGCTCTGGCAAAGCAATAAAGAGCAATGCAGCATCTATTATTGTAATCATGGTTGAAGAAAAACGAATATATTGACATAACTCAATGGAAATAAATTAAGAGCCATTTGAATGGACAATAAAATTAAAAATAATAATAACATAATATTAATTATTATAATATTAAAATTAAAATTAATGATAAAAATATATATTTAAATATAAACACAACGATGACAACGAATTGAATTATGATAAAAAATCATTAAAAATTTTAAATTAAAATTTATATATAATAAAAATTTTAAATTATTTAATATTTATAAAATTAATAAATATATAAATAATTATTAAACTATTTTTATGATAAATTATAATTTTGTTAATAAAAATAGTTAAAAAATAATATTTTTACTACATTAATTAACAAAATTATCTTTTTTTTAAATAAAAATTAAAATGAAAAAATAAATTAAACATAAAGATACTTTTATCTCTTCAATATGATTGAAAAAAAAAAGCAGTATAGAATTGAATAACCGGACTCAAAACAATCAGTGAGAAAAAGCAACTCTTGGCACAACCGCTTAAACATCCAAACTGAAGTTCAGTGTGATTTGCACAAATTTTCATGGAAAATGATATCGGGTACGTTTGAATCCAAATCAAACCTTAATTAAGTCGATGACTACTATAATCGAAATGATCCAAAATATTAAAGAGCTCACAATTAATTTAATTATTTTTAACATTATTTGTGAATTTTAAAATTCTATTGTGAATGTATAGAAAAGAAATTCTTAGTATTATTTATTGAAATTTTAAAAATTATTAGATAGATTTGAATTCACTTGAAAGGTATATTTGAAGTACAACTATAGATAACACACATGCATCTTCCTTATTCCACTGTCTCCCCTTGCTTCACATGTTTATTCAAACAAACGATGAACATATGCATTTACGAATGGATGTCATTTACCCATATGCATCCATGTTGTATCAAAAGAAACTTCTCAGAATTGCAATCTGCTCCCCACACAAGTATATTAGACAGACACTACACCATGGACCCTGACCCACTTAACAAAATTTAGGCACTTGAACCTTAGCTCTCAAAAAGAAAGTTTCACCATTTGTCTCAATCAACCAATAATTGCCATTGGAGAACGATCATTAGCTACAATTTGAGAAGCATCTCCTTCTTCAGTGTTTCCATTTTCTTCCTGATTCAGATCAGCATTCTCACTTTCACCATCCTCCGTTGTTGATTCTTGATGCGGTCGTTCTCCTTGGACACCTATCATGTGCATCAAAAGTTCCTCAGGTTTTACTTCATAACCAGAATTAACTGAGCCATCAACCCTTTTAGTTTTTCCTTTGTATAGAGCATCTAGCTGGTGAAAGTAAGGGCATGTCTTAGAATCCTCGGGCCTTTTCTTATTGCTTTCCTTTACTCTTTTGAAGTACTTGTTCATATTCTCCCATTTCTCTTTACACCTCTTTGCACTTCGATCATAGCCAAGTTTTTTCATTGCAGTTGATATCTCCTCCCATAAAGGGCCTTTAGGTGCATTGTCTTGGTATTGCAAATCAAGATTAGCCCTCAGTCTTATCAAAGCCTCCACTTCATCTTTAGGCCAACGAGTAGTACTTAGGTGCATATAACTCTCACTACCATTGCTATATTCTTGCCTCTCAGCAACTTTCTCAACTGGGAATGGGGTCTCAGGCAATTGCACTGTGGTTGTTTGATCTAAAAACTTCTGTAGAAATGCCAGCACAGCAGCATCTTTAGTTGCTGCAATCGATCTTTCTTGCATCAATAGCTCACGCTCCCTCTTAATCCTAGCCAATTCTTGCATCTTCCATGCTTCCTCTCTTGCCATCCTATCTTGTTCAGACTTCTCTATCGCCTCTATAAACTTCTTCTGCAAATTCTCTTGCTCCTCCATCACTTCCCTCATCAAACTCTCGAAGAAGTTCATCAATTTCCTCTTTTTCTTTCTCGTCCCATCCAATTCCGGCTCCTTACTTGACGAAGAAGTAGTCGAGGTAGAATTTTCATAGAAATTCAAAGCTGGGTTTCGAGTAGAAATTGGAATAGCATCATGGATAACACCCAAGGAAGGATGATGATCCAATGCTTCTAATTGCTCGAAAAACCGATAATTCTTGTCATTCGATCTTCCAGATCGACCTTCTTTGGTTCTCCTATGGTACTTGTAGATGTTCTCAAATTTCTCCTTACATTTCTTGGCATTTCTGTTATATCCAAGCTCTGCCAATTTCCTGATGAAATAGCTCCATTGTTGCACCTCAAAATTAATTATTTTAACTTGACAAATTAATCTAATAAAAAGGGGTTTAAGTTTAACTAAGATTATTGAATATAAAGAGTGAAATTAAAACAAACACGCGAAAATAGTATTAAAAAAAGCATTTTTTTACTGCATTTATAGCTCTTCTAGTTCTTTCAAAACAGCATAATTAAACAAGAAGGAATTCAATATCCCAACATAGGAAAAAACCAAATGTTTCCAACATTTTCTGTGCAGAACCCAACATTTTCCTTCATTTTCCAGTTAATTTTCTCCAAAAAAAAACGTCAAATTTAGTTAAGAAGAAAAAGAAAGAAAGCAAACCTGGAAACTTGTTCCCAGAGAGGAGCCTTGACATCAGACTCTCTAAAAGCAACGTCCATTTCAGACCTTATCTTTAACAAAGCTAAAGTCTCTTGCCTTGGCCAACGGCTCCCTGCAAAATTCCGTTCACTCTGTTCATTTTTCACCTCAACTTCCTCTTCATTCACTAAGATGACGCTGTCGGCAATTGTATTATTTTTAGGAAAATTTGAATTTTCCATAATCTCAAAAAACACTTCAGTAAAATAGTTTACGGCGCAAAGCTCAAAAAAATTGTGAAGTTTTAATTGGTTTTTTCTTGAAGATTTGGAAAAAGTAAATTTTTTAGAATTTAAGGTAAAGTTTTTTTTTTTTTTTCATAAATCTACCAACATGTAATAGAGGGAGAGGTGAATTAGGGTTTCTTAATAAAAGGATAAGAGGGGAGAGTCGTTGTGATTAAGTGGGGCTCAAACCAAGCTGATTTTTTTACATGTCAATTTTTCATTGGTTTATCTGTCGTTTTGTGTCTTTGACTCTTTTTGGATGGTTTGACCCAACTCATGATTGTGAATTTTGGGTCAAGATAAGTGGGCTTGGAGGTATTCAAGTATGCAACGATAAGCGTTCCTACATATATTGGCAAGCCATTGGTAAAATTGAAAATAAATAAGATGATAGTATACTTTAAAAAATATGTATTCTCCTATAGATTTTCGCCGTGAAATTCAAAACTTTAGCTTTTAAAAGGGATTTCTTTTTAATATTTTAGAATTGATTATGGGGGGTTTTGGATAGAGCTGGAACAGTCCTTGAGAAAGCAGTGTGTGTAGATAGAGACAAGTTGGTATTTTGTCTAGGCAACCAAATTTGATCAATTTGGCAGTTCTCTTTAGGCTTCAGCCCACCTTTTGGCCTGTTGAGTCTTCCATTTCCCTTTAGCTTTTGGTTTTGCTTATGTACAAAATGACCAAAAATACTCTTTTGGTTAATAACTAGGTTAAGAAAAGCATCCATTTTTGGGAAATAAATTTGAAGATGCTTAAAAAGTTAGTTAGGGTACTGACTGTTTCAACTTAAAATCATATCCAATCATTATTTATTTTGAATGCAATTATCATATCTTGTTGATTGAGGAACATAGTATTATAGTAGTAATTTTCTACATTTTTCATGTTATTTCAAATCGAAATCATAACATGTTGATGATTGAATTTAGGGTTTAAAACTAAAAATTGTATGTTTGACCATGTTTCTATTTCCTGCATAAGCAATGTGGGATTCAGACCATGTTTCCCAAGTCGACAAGACTTGTTTTATAAGGCAAGCTTAATCCATTTCTTTTGCTGACCTGTTTCCTGAAACTAGTAAATTAACATTACTAGATTCGATAAAGCCTAAGGTAGAGCCTCCAAAAATGGAGGAGAGTTTGCTCCATTTTTAGATCTCTCTGCTAAAATTTCATTCCTTGCATCTCAGTTCATTGTTTAGATCGAAAGGGAAAGTAAACATGAGTTCAAACAGGTCATTGGCGAGGCTACTCCATTTCTTCAATTGAAAATTTGAGCACTCTATTAGCTGTTTGATTGCAGAGAAACCAGAGGAAAACAAAAGCATATAAAAAATCATCCAAAAGAATGGTTATAAATCAAATTATGGAAACTCATAATGCTTGATGTTTGACCAATTATGTCAGTTATTCATTCCAAAATAAAATAAGTTATCTGTCTCTATGACAGAAATTTCCATTTTATTAATGCATTATGTTCTACACTGATGGAAATATTAATTAACTAAGGCCATTGCACCTAACACAACGAAAAGGAGAATAAAAAATTAAACCAACAATCAAGCAATGGAGCCAAAGAACCATCAGTATGCAGCAAATCCCCGCTTCCTTCCCACAAACCACACTCCATTTTTGTATAGAACATAAAAGAAGCAAAACTTTTTGTATTTGTGATTGGAAGTTAGAATCATGGCCAGCAAGCTTTTCCAGGCACCAGTTCCCACTTCCAAAGGAATTCCTTCAATACCTAAAATCACAAGAATGATAACTCCTGCTGAGAAATTATCCCCAGCATTGCGGTCAACAACCAAGAGCATAAGATTGTTTGAGCCTCCATCTGGTTTCAGACACACTCTCAAATACGCCACCAAAGCTGCTAAAGATAGCTGTAGCTTACTTAATCATGACATGGATGCAGAAGAAAAAGAGAACGAACCATCAGAGTACAGGACAGTTGACCTGATCAAATCAGACTTTTACCAGGCGATCAAAGGTACGATCTTGGAAATTTCAGGCACATATGCATACCATCTTTACCTTGATAACATGAAAAATTGAAATGAATGTTAACATGTGTGGCATTTATATATATGTCTAGGAATCAACAGAGGGATTTTTGGAGTACAATCTGCTAGAAAATCTGAGATTGAAGAACTGGTGGAGTTGCTTAAGTCCCAGAATCCAACACCTGACGCTGCATTGCATCTAGAGAAGGTACACTCAATGCAATTTCTTTCTCCTTTTCATCAATTCTGAAGTCTGTACTATATTATTAAGGTACAATGGATGAGTGTCATATCTTCTACTCCCGATTTTATAGATATACTATGAAACTTGAAAACAAGGTAATGGAAATATAGGAATTTTGTGTCCTTAGAAGTGCTCATGCCAAAGCTTGTTACACCAGAATTTTCAGTTTCCTCATGTATGATAAGGGTTTCACAAATTTTACTCCTGGATGTCGAATTAAATCAGATGTCTGCTCTCTCAATAGGAATTCAAAATGTTCAATTACAGTTTTGTTTCATAATTGGAAGGTTGGAGGATGCTGGAAGCTTGTTTACAGTACAATAACAATTTTGGGAGCCAAGAGGACAAAACTAGGATTGAGACATTTCCTCACCTTGAGGGATATTTATCAATCCATTGATGTTACCCAGGTATAAGGTCAATTCTCACCCAATGATGTCTGCATTTTTCAAAGTAAAAAGTGAAAAACTCATTTCTTATATGTTCATTACTCTTCTCTAGGCAACCTAAACTGTTGTAGGTAAACATTTTTTCTCATTAAATTCTGAAAAAATTGAAGAACTTTCTCTTTCTGTTTAATGAACCATATAAATTATTGGTTGGAGGGAAAGAAAATGTAGGAATCTGTACTTTCCTTCATCTCCCGCTGCACTTTCCTTCATCTCCCGCAGAAGATAATGTAAGATCATTGTAGGTAATGGATCCAGCAATAAAAATGTATTACTACTTTATACCTACCAGATTCTTCTAACTTGAAATTCAATCAATAACATAACCATTATTTGGCACATGATTATTTAGATTTACCACACAAGTCTAAATGGTGATTAATACTACTTCTGCACCCTTTCAAATTAAAACTGTTTTCCATTACATTGTTTCCTAATACTAACCCCTAAAGCATTTGGTGATGAAAAAATTGGAGGCCAAAGCAATTAATGTGGTCGAGTTCGATGTTCGAGGTTTAAGTTTGTTGAATGGACAGCTTACAATTGAGGCTACCTTCAAGATAGCATCTAAATCAGTTAATTCAATCACTTTAATTTCCTTTTTTTTTAACTTACCAGAATCCTTTCTAAAGTTGGATAGTATGTTTGAAATATCTTCATTTGATCATTTCTGTTTTTTACAGAGAGTTGACATATGTTATGAAAAATCAACAATCACTCCAGACCAGGTAAATGTGCAAAGCCAATAAGTATTTAATAGATATTTGACCTGAAATTTTATTTCAGCTGTCTTTTAAGGAAGGCAGACACCATTTATCTGGTTTTTTACCCTTCTATTTGTCGCACTGTCGAAAACAATTTGGTTCCCTTTTGGAGGAAAAAACAGTTGAGGAATGTGCTGTGGAGAAAGCATGATCTTCTGCTTAGCATCTTCAATCCCGAAGGTTGGCTTGACGTATCGTATCCTTTTTAGTCTCCTGAAACAAGCGTCTATAGTTTTCTAAATTCAACTTGACAATTTGACTGGCGTTTCCAGTTTAAAGAGAATGTACATGAATTGCTCCTTAATTTGACCATAAGGTATGTAGATGATACCATGATGATTGGAAGAGATGATAAAGGTAATACCTTCGTCTTAGAAAGATCGGAGTAAAGAACAATCAAATGATCATGTTTTCGCCTAGACCTCGCAGCAGAGCATGAGAATAGTTTTCTTCTTTTTCTTTGAATACTAGAAATAGTGGCAGCTAAATGCTTTGCATACAGTTACTTGATCGTAGAATGATTTCAAAGTAATAAGATCATTACATTGATACTAATTGTTTAAAGCTGACAACTAGTCCTAGGCATAAAAGGGGATATACATACATACATATATATATATATGTATATATATATATCACGAATGTTACATAATTTATAAGAATCACTGATTTTTCAGAGAAGTTGAGATTTCTAAATTTGCAAATTAAAGAAGACTACAGAACTGATAGTTGGCTTGCTCTTAAAATTGGAGTAAGAGATTCGGACAAATATTCAGGACCACAACTTGGGAGGCGTGGTTAGTTTTAGGGGGGAAGCAGAATCTTAATAAACAAATGTTATTTACATTTAGATATGCCATTCAAAAGGAAGCTTGAAGGACTGAAAACCAGCCTCCTATCAATGATTGTGGATCTCGAGCACTTGACTAGTCTTTTCTATAAAAAAAATTAATCACATTTTTCTATTAACTAGTTGATACATAAAATAATAAGAAAGGGCAATATTGAAAGTTTATTGAAAGTAAGGCATGGATTTCGAGGCAAACCATTTTTCTTGATCAAATCTGTCAAGCTTCACAAAGATGATTAGATGAATTCTTCTGCCTTGTGTTTAAGGCAAAATCTATCACTTCATCTACCAATAAGCGCTTCTCTAATCATCTTTGTAAAGCTTCTCTTGCTAGATAAAGTGTGCTACTCTCCATATTTTGTTTCAAGAAAAAATTGCTCTCCCGAAGAATAAAAATGATACTAAAAAAATGAAAGAGAAGTAGAGAAGAACCAAATAAAGCTATACATTGCACTATTACAGTATATTGGCCTAGGAGTTTCCTTGATCAATTTGAGATCAGACGGTCTTGACTCTTCGCAAACCAAGCAAACAACCCAGTACATGGTCAAATATACTGAAGTTATTCATAAGATCAGCAAAGTCAAAAGCTACTGAGGTATAAAATTCATAGTTTCATATTACATCATTAACGCAACAGTTTGGTGGCATCTCTTTGTTGATAAAGATCACAGATGGCATGTCAATTTCCTATATGATATCAAGCATCATTAATCAAAAATAAATGTTACCATAAACTGCAATTACACCAATTTTCAATCTATTAAAATGATTAATTCATTTTCCACTAATTGTAGGAATGCTATTCCTTCAGACTAATGACATTGTGAAATTGCAAAGGCTGCTGACAAAGGAAAGTTCTAGCCAGCTAGCAATTAATGCATCAAGTACATAGAGTTTCAAGATATCTTGCCATGACAGACATACTTGCTTGAACAATTCATTCTACACAAAAGATATCATTGCTCATAAACACTTTGTGACTAAGAAATGTATGTGTAATATTTGGATTATTAACTATATTCATCAAATTTTTACTGTCAAATAAACTAGATGTCTGACGGATATTAAAAAAGAAGTTAAAAAATCTCTCAAATTGGAAGTCAGATCAATGCCAATACTACAAAATTTTAACATGCCAACCTGGTGGATTGTAAGGACCAAAAACAGGATGCCCTCATTAGAAATCAGCCATAGCAGGAAGTACTCTTTGTATAACATAACTTGATCATCGATATTGCTGAATTTGGCAATTGAAGAACTAGTGATCCAACAATGGACTTTTTCAAGTAAACTCCTGTCTTATGTCCTTGAACATTGTCAAAACCAATGTTCCAAACAAAGCTATAGAGTAACTAATAAACATCTTTAATTCAAAAAGTCACAAAAAGCATTCTTCTCTCACGATGCCACGCGATTCATCAATAACCCAATTCATAATTTTAAAATTAAAACACTTTAAAGAGGAAAAAAAGATACCTTGCACCTGAACTTCACCTAAGCTTCTGTTTCGCAGAACTTTTCTTAGCCGCGTCCCTAACCTTCTCAATATACCCTTCAATAGGAGGAGTCAAAGTCGCCATAAACCGATTAGCCGGAAATGGGGTCAAATCCGGTACCATAGCCGCCTGCTTAAGTTTCTCAGGCAGAGCCTCAATCGCCTCCCTTTTCACTCTCAACAAATTAGTCTCAGCCGCCTGCCTTGCCCTATGCTTTCTCATCAAAACCCGACTATACTCCTTAGCCAATCTCCGTCCATCCTCCACAGTCAGCTCGTATTTGGGTATCTTATCAGCATCAACAAGGCCCAATGTAATCAAATCAAGCCCAGGTGTTCCCATTATCATAGGCTCATCGGGAACCCCCATTGTTTGTCTTCCTCCCTTCTTCAAAATCTCCATTTCCCGTTGCCTTTCTTTGCTTATTAATCCCAATTTTTCCCGTTCGGCTTCCCGGGCTCGCTCTTTCGGTGAGAGGTGACGGACCGGCGTGGGTGCATTGAGGCATTGGTCGTAAAGTCTTTGCTTTTCATCGGGGATACGGCCACCTTTCGAGAGGGAATCGTCGATAGGAGCGCCGCCTTTGCCTTTCTTAGTGGAGATTTTGGAGCGTTTTAAAGGCTGGCCGGCTTTGAGTTTAGATTTGCCTTTGGCGGTTCCGCTGACGGTGCAGCGTTGTAGGAGTTGGTGACCAAGTGTTGTTACAGGCTTTTTTGGGTTTTTTGCGATTTGGATCATGGTGTTTTCTGGGGTTTTATCAGAGAAATTGTAGAAGGAATAAAAATGACTTGTAATCTTTGTGTCTTGAGAAAACGGAAGAACTGAGGTTTTGGGTTTATCAGAAAATGGTCTCACCGTCCAGGGGAGTTGATGAACCCTGTTTGGAGTCCCAAACCGGAACTGATCGATACCCTTGGCCCAACATAATAGGATTATTAAAAAAATCACAATACGATTAGTTGAAAAGGAGAGAGGTTGATGAGAGCCCAAACCCATTGGATATCCCAAATAAAATACCTAGCTTTGTATGGCTATCTCCGAAAAACCGACAAAAATCTTTTGTAAATGAGAGAGCACCAAGCAGTAAGCACCCTTCACTCTTCAGACTTCAGAGCAGCCATTGCACTTCATCTATCTTTTAGCCCAAAACCCAAACACAGAGGTTTATTACTAGTAGCTTTGTAACTCAGATACAGAATAAAACACTTACAAAAAACCATTTGCAGGGAAAAAAATAAAGGCATGAAAGCAATGGATTTTCCACTCAGAAACAACCCATCCATTTGTTTTACTCTGAACCCACCAAAACCATTCTCCAAACTTAAGAGTTTTCACTGTTAGATGCTCTTTCCCTCTCTCCTCTGACGCTGCTGCCACTGGTTTTTTTTTCACATTTTCCTTCTATATTTTGTCTCTTTTTTTCCTTTGTAGTTTTAAATTAATGGGAAAAAATCTTTGGTGATGGGTGGATTTAGGGCTGGCGGAGAGACCATGGAAGGTTGCGGATGCTAGGCTGGTTCTTCAAGATGGTTCTATTTGGAAGGCTAAATCTTTTGGTGCCTCTGGAACACAAGTCGGTGAAGTGGTTTTCAACACTTCTTTAACAGGGTAAGATGATATAGTATTTTGAATTTTAGTTTGTGTTTAGAATTTAAACTAAAATTAAGAAAAAAAAAATTACTTCTTGTTGATGCGTAATTTTGGGTATTGAACAATGGAATTCTTAAGGTCATTGGATAAATCTAAAGTTTCTGTAAAATTTTGAATTTTAAATTGTGTTCAATAAGATTATGATGTGTTTGCATAATAATAGAGTCTGTTGTTTTTAATTTGGTCCGGCTCTCGAAAGATTGTTTCAATGTTAAAATATAATTGTTGTGCAGCTATCAGGAAATTCTAACAGACCCTAGTTATGCTGGTCAGTTTGTCCTGATGACCAATCCACATATTGGCAATACTGGAGTGAATTTTGGTGAGTGACTTTTACCTTTCGAATCATCACTGTTCTGAATTGTAAACTATAAATGATCCTATGTTGATGCCTACCCCATCAGATGATGAAGAATCAAGGCAGTGCTTTCTTGCCGGTCTGGTGATCAGAAGTCTAAGTATTACGTAAAATTCCTCCTTTTAATTTCTTAGATATGCGATTCAGTAGCTTTGGCACAAAAGGTTTGCTCATTTGTTTATCAAATTGTAATTAAATGTTTTGCAGTACATCAAATTGGAGATGTGTAGAAACCCTTGTTGATTATTTAGCAGAAAGAAATATTATGGAAATTTGTAAGTTTTATATATGGCACTGGATATGTAGTTTGTAGACTGATAACAAATTTATTTGTTCTTTGGGTATCACTTGTGACCTCCTTTCACTTGATGCTTTCTTATAATGGCAGATGATGTTGACACACGTGCAATCACCTGGAGATTGAGGCAAGATGGAAGTCTTATTGGGGTTTTGAGCACAGAACAATCTAGAAGAGACAAAGAACTTTTGGAAATGTCACGTTCGGGGGACATTGTAGGTAAGAATAGCTGTCTTATTTGAAAGTTATGAGCACTTTAAAAGGATAGGATTAGCTGTATCCCTATTATTCTTGTCTTTATTTTTCAGGTATTGATTTAATAAGTGGTGTTACCTGCAATGCCCCTTATGACTGGGTTGATAAAACAAAACCAGGATGGGTCTTCAACACCGATGGAAGAGATCAAGAGACTTACAGAGTTAGTAATACTTTTTGAAAGCTTAGGTGAGAGCTTTTAGATTCTCGCTTTGTGTCTGCCCTTAAACTTCTCCATTTTTTTTTTAAATTGAAGGTTATTGCCTATGATTTTGGGATCAAGCATAATATACTTCGACGCTTAGCATCTTATGGATGTGAAATCACTGTTGTCCCATCCACGTGGCCAGCAGCCGAAACCCTTAAACTGAAGCCAGATGGAGTTCTGTTCAGTAATGGTCCAGGGGATCCATCTGCAGTTCCTTACGCTGTTGAAACAGTCAAGGAAATTCTGGGAAAAGTTCCTGTGTTTGGAATTTGCATGGGCCATCAGTTACTTGGGCAGGCCTTGGGTGGTAAAACCTTTAAGATGAAGTTTGGTCACCATGGAGGAAATCATCCTGTTCGCAACATTCGCAATGGTCGTGTTTAGATTAGTGCTCAGGTGTGTTTGTATATACATCCCTTTATGCATGTATAGCGTTGTCAGCATGGGCTTAAATTTTTCTATGGGATGAACCAACCCCACACCACTCAAACCCCCACCCCCACAAAAGGGGAAAACACACACACATTAAAGAAATGAAAAAGAAAATAAGTTCTTATATACTCGGTGAATGTTTCCATTCTTATTCATATATTTATTGACAATGTTTTGGATTGTAGTATTTATAAGTTTGGATGAACTTCTGTGAGGTTATTCAGCTCTAACAAGTTTAAAGTTGCACTCTATCTTTTGGGTTGTGTTTTCACATTTGAATTTATGATCTGGCAGAATCACAATTATGCAGTTGATCCTGCATCACTCCCTGAGGGTGTAGAAGTGACTCATATTAATCTTAATGATGGAAGCTGTGCTGGTCTAGCGTATTCTGCTTTAAATATTATGTCTCTTCAATGCCATCCTGAAGCATCCCCTGGACCTCATGATTCAGATTGTGGTAAGAAATTTTGACAAATTGATTTTAGTCTTTCACATTTTAACAAAGATTGTGAATTTCTATGTTTGTTAAAAGGATTTCTTTTGCTTAAATCTATTATTTCTTGCTACAGCTTTTAGAGAATTTATAGAGCTTATGAAGTCATCAAAACAAGCTGCTTAAAGGAGTCTGTAGTATCTGATGGTTCAACCTTTTTGGTATAGTTAAATGGTAACGTTTTAAATGGATGTCTTCTCGACTATGGTTTGGCCGATATTTGCTTTATATGGATAGAACCAAGCAGGAAGTGATCTATGTCACAATTTTGTATGAAAGAGTTTTAGATAATTTGAATGTTTTCTATGTTTGAACGGTACTTCATGAGTTATGGAAAGATGAACACTGATTATTGGCATTTAATACTTGAATCACAACTTTCTTTGCAGTTTTAGAATAATATTATTTTGTCCTATAAGTGAGGCAACATGTTCATTTCCATTTATCCCTTTTCCTTTTCAGTAAGGAGAGTAGAGATCCTGGTTTTACCATGGTTCAACTTTTTGGGTATAGTTTTAACAGCAGGATTGTAATTGTCACCCCTGGGTGAAGAAAGAAGAGACAGTTACTAGCACTTGTAACTATATATGCCAATTTTGGGAAATTGTAACTTTGTTTCTGTCCTGGGTTTTACTCATGTGATAAGGAGATAAATAATTCACGATTATACTAATCCCTGGTTATAATCCATGATATGATAAAGACATGGTAAAAACAGAAAATGCTAATGAAATAACATACCGGATAACAAAATTTAAAAGCAATAAAATGCTGATACTTATGAGCATAAATAAAATTGAAGTCATCAATTCATCGTAACAATCAAAAACATTTGGTTAATAATTTATGACATGAACAATATAATTTATTTATGACATCATTTAGGAAAAAAAAAACCTTTTGGATATGTCCTTCCTACAAGATGCAGGTGACTGGCTTCCTTCCTGCTCTGAGTTTCAAAATGGTTATGGGAGAAACAGACCTCTTATCTGCTCTTACCAGAATGAGGATCTCTGATCTGGAAACGAACTGCTACATCTGATGAAAAAGGATTAGCACTTGACTTGTTTCACCCAGAGTTGAGAAAAGAATGGTGTAATAAGCTCAGCAAAGCAGAAAAAATAACCACTAAAGGATGCTGCAGTTGTGTCAAAACTGAAGAACGTCTCTGTGGATTGGACCAGTACCAAGATCACTCGATATTGAACGTGCTACTCTTCTCAAAAACTTGTGAGCATCAAGGTGGAGCAGCTTTATCATCTAAGAAGTTCCTGAAAGAAGCTGAAGCATCGAGCAATCCTGAGAAAAATAATCCTGGTGAGAAGTCCGAAATACAAGGGCATGGTTAGGAAAAGAAATTTTGATAAGTATGTTGAACAATAGAGTAAAAAAGCAATTCAGAAATGCATTTAATACTTCAAAATGCTGAGGAGATCTAACTGCTGCAAATTTTGTGAACAAAATAGGATAATCTTGTTAATTCGGATTAATATTATTCAGAAAGCAATAAAAATCATAATTAGAAAATGATTTTAACTTGCTGAGTTTCCTCCTAGAATACTTTGCATACCCCGTAATCTTCTCAGAAGCGGCATGCTGTTCCATGGAGCAAATTAATTTCTTCAACCTGAAAAACCATGTGAATATTAAGGTGAAAAAACACCATAAAAAGATTAAAAGCATAAAGGAATCCAGTGTCTTTAGAGCCAATTGCAAAAACAGAATACAAAATAAAATGTAACCTTAAGTTTTAAGGAGTTCATCTCTCTTCCTCCATTATCAGTGTGCTCCTGAATACGAAAGCTCAGGATAAAGTAAAGCCTTCGGCAGTTTCAAATCCCCCAGCTACATAGTAATTACAAGACAATTTCAGCATATTGAATCATTCAATGAGGCAAGAGGATTAATAAGCCATTATAAGTGCTTTGAACGATCAAATGTTTACACAAATTTAAAAGATAAAAAGAAAGAATGACGTATCCTTTCCATTAGCCAGTTAAACATCGCAACAACCTCAAACATTACTTATTACATCATCATATAATTCCCAACAGATAAACAGAGAAACCTAAGTGAAGATCACCTATACAAAAATCATGTAAAGAAGAATATGACAAGTTCATACCAAGTGCTAATCACCTGTATCATTTTAAATGCCCGAGTCCTGACAAAGCAAAAGAGTTCTACTTGTGTACTGAGAAAGCTTTCCTTGGCCTGCTACATATTAGTAAGACACTTTCAATGTACAGATAAGATAAAAAGTCTTGTATGAGTATTTCCACTCTGCAAGACAGAATACAATGAAGAAGGCTCAGTGATATTCTACCATTCAATGTACCTTGAAACATTTGAGCGGACAAATGCTTTAGATATATCAACCACTTGAGTCACAGAGGTCCTTACTTCTCAAAACTATCTTGGCTTTCAAGATACCACGGTGCAAAGTTGACATGGTACAGGTATCTGGCTGTATGCCCCTACTTGACATTTCGTTAACAAGGGTTACAGCCTTCTCTACATGTCCTCTTTTACAATAACCAGATATAAGAGCCGTATATGTCACGTTATCAGGTTCCAATCCTGTATCAATCATTTCATCAAAGATCCTAATTGCATCCTGAAGATTGTTTGTCCTACAGTACTGATCAATCAAAACAGTATAACAAACAACATCAGGTTTCACCCCCATGCGCTTCATTTCACTCCAAAAAGTTGAAGCATCCATTGTTGTCTTGTTTTTGTTGTGTGTTGCATCAGGACTAGAAAGAGACCTCAAATTTATTTTTGTATGGCCGTTAAGCAAGACCGTATAAGTGATAACATCAGGTTTAATCCCTCTCTCCTTCATATTATTGAAAAGATCCAAGGCTTCCTCCAAAAAATTCACCTTACAGTAGCCACTTATCATTATTGTGTAGATAACTAGATCAGGTGTTAGCCCTTTCTCAATCATAATATCAAACAACAGCTGGGCCTTTCTCAAATTTCCTGCCTGACAAAATGCACCAATGAGTTTCCTGTACATTAATTTGGTAGGTTCAGCATTCAAAGAGAACATTATCTTAAGTAGCATAAGAGCTTTATCATTATCACCATCCATGCAAAGACAACTAAGGAGTTTTGAGCAAGAAGCCTTCCTCACTAGAAATCCCTGCTTAGACAGCTTGACAAATAATTCAAAGGCTTCTTTTGTGAGGCTTGCTTCACAATAACCATCAAGTAAGGCAGCATAATTTTCGAAACACTTTTCCGGCAAGCTAGCTAAGAAAGCTTCAGCTTCCTTCACCTTACCACCTATACATAAGCCTTTAATGATCATGTTGTGTATGATAGTGTTACGTTTCAAACCTTGTGCCTCTATATAATTCAAAAGATTGACAGCCTCTTGTGCAAGGCCATTTCTAGCTAAACCCCCAGCAAGGACACTGTAAGAAACAATATCAGGCTTGAGACCATTCTCCTTCATCTCCTCAAACAAGTTCAATGCATCTTCAAGTTTACCTTGAAGACAATATCCATTGATCAAAGTGGTATAGTTAATAACATCAGGGGAAATCTTTTTATCCTTCATCTCATCAAGCAATTCTACAGCTTCATCCACTTTACCTACCTTGCAGAGAGCATCAGCCACTACATTATGACAAGCCTCATCAAGAAATATCCCAATATCCTTAAACTCCTTAAATTGATTTACAGCTTCAAAATTCAGGCCCATCTGACACAGGCTTTCAAGAATTGAGGTCACAATCACACAGTTTGTTTTGATACCCTTTGACACCATTTCATCGTGAACAGCCAAAGCTTTTATTATATTCCCACATTTGCAGTATCCTCTTATTAAGGCATCATAAAGAAACACATCATGAACAACCCCATGCTTTTCTGCCTCAAATAAAACATCTTCCGCTTCTTTCAATTTCATCTCATTACAGAAGCCCTTAATCACAACACAATAAGCGAAGGCATCTAAAGGAATGTTTGCATCCCTCCATGCTTTAAGCACTTCATGACCCAAATCTGTCCTACCATGCATACAAAGCCCTTCAATATAAGTTGTGTATGCAAAGGCATTTGGTATAACTTTTGCTTCATCCATCTCTCGGAAAACGTCAACAGCTTCCTCCAAACTACCCTTTTTGCAAAGTGCCTTAATTAGAATGCCATAAGTATAATCGTTTGGCTTCAATCCAAGTCTCTTCAACTGTTGATAAATAGCTACAGCCATATCAACTTTCCCACAGTGAATCAAACGATTCATAAGAAAATTAAATGAAAATATATGTGGAACAAATCCACGCCTTCTAGTTTGAAACAAGATATCAATAACTTCATCAAACATTTCAACACTAACATATGCCTTCACCACTGCATTGGACAATCGAACCAAAAGGTTTGAGTCTTCTCCCTCAAGGCCCTCTTCAAGAGCTTCAAACAAATCCATAATTTCGAAACCTAAACGCTTCTCTTTTCTAATGATTTCCAACAACATCAAATCCAATTTCCTATCCCAACCCCAATAACACAATGTTTTTACTATAGCAGCGTACGTACATATATCATGAGAAACCCCATCTTCTTTCAATTGGTTAAAAAATGACAGAGCCCTATCAGGTTGTTTTCTTAAAATATTTAAAGTTTGAACAACCTCAACTCTATGTAATTCCACGAATTGGTCTCTGTAATGATTCATATTTGGGGCACTGACGATTTCTTGCTCATCAGATGAACTGGATGTTAATTGGGCAAGAGCATAGTGCATCTGCTGGGAAACAAAAATTATTACAACATTCTTCAGTTCCCCTTTTTTAAGTAAACATTTGTTTGTTACTCTTATTTCTTACTTTTTGCTTCCCACAAAAAAAAAATCAAAAAGTACATTTACATGCAATATATATTTGAATAACTAAACATTAAAAATGTAATTATTTTTTATCAAAAAATGCAACTTTTAGAGAACAAATTGCATGATTTTACTTTTAAATAGAACAACGTATTAGATTTGCTCATATATTTTAGTTATTTATTCCTTTTTATTCAATTATCATTTTGATTTCCACTACTTGTACTTTATAACGAAATATTAGGAAGAAAAATGCAACAAACAAAAGCAACAACTAAGCCAAGCCTATTTTTTAAAATGGTCCTTAGCTCCGTACATGAAATAATGACGTTAAAACTGAAAAATGGAGGGACAAATCAAGAACAAAATACCTCTTTTGCAGCAGTAGGAGAGTAACTCGAAAAGGTCCAAAATGCAGGTCGTATCTTCCGCAAGGACTGTCCCAACATCTAAACAAACAAAAACATCAATACCCATGAATTAAAATGTTGAAATATTGCCCAAAACTAAAGAGAAGTAGGAGTACCGGAAGGAGAAGAGCTGGGTTGCAGCAATGGAACTTCGTTAGGAAACAGCTCAATTTGCAAACAGTTAAAAGATAGAATTAGGATACTTCGATTCGAATGGGTTGCGAGATAAAGAAGATTGATAGTTCTCTGGGTTCGAAAATCGTTGGGGGAAATTTTAAGAGTTGGCTCATAAGGCAGGCGGGATTGTAGCTTCGAGAGAAGAAAAAATAGCTGCTGTGGAAAGGAAGATGACGTGCCCAGGGTTTACTCAGGGTTTTGGGACTGACCGGGTTATCCCTAACTTTGTAGACATGGCTCATTTTAAATTGGATTTCTATTTAAATCTTTTGGTTATCATCATATTCATATATTTTATTAATAAATAATAATATTTTTATTTCATTTTTTAAGACATTTAAAATATTAAAATGTAATTATTTTTATTATATTTTATTAACATTTAAATATTATGTAAATGAATGATATGAGGTAGGCTTGGGCTTCATTTTAAAAATTGTCGATCCATAAACACTTCTAAATCTTAATTAGCGGGTGCTGATTAACCGCTAATTAAAGAGGATATAAAGATTACATCTATTGTTGAACTAAATATCAGCGAGTATATTTCTTTATATTATATATATTCTTTATTTTGTTGGTTTTATTGTAAACTGAAATTGCAATCATCACCCTTCCAGGCTTCAATCTAGATCTAGTAAAACAGATACACCAGATGAGTTCAGAGAAAAAGCAATGGCGATAAGATTCAAAACGAGGTATCAAATATAGTTTCCATAACAGTTTATGACCGCAAACTGACGCTAATTTAAATTTTCGAGTACAATGGCTATTAACATTAATGTTTCTCGTGGGGGAAAAAAAAAAGCATTGAATATGAAATTAAAGAAAATACGAGAGAAGCATCACAATCACTCTCCAGCTACAAACATCCTATTAAGAAAGGAAGGAACCGAGCACCAATTGTCTGCCCACCACCAAATCCAGGGGGCCATCATCTCAATAGCATAGCTGTGACACCAGCAGACATCACAAGTCACAATAGACGAAAGGCTTATATAATACATCAATATCAGAGAACACTCTCCTTCAATGATCCCCACCTTCAACGCTTCCCCTTCAACCAGACTTTGAGTTCACTTGACACAGGACACAAACACCAACTAAATGGAAAATGTTGCTCACCATCAAAGCACTTATAAAACTTAGAAGCACTTCCTGTGGACAATGGATGGACCAGACTCATCGTACTCGCCCTTGGAAATCCACATCTGATGAAACAGGTAAAGAAAGAATGTCAGTCTCAGACAACCAACTTGCATAAAAGTAAAACATGAACCAACTATAAGGAAAAATATTTCACCTGCTGAAAGGTGCTGAGTGATGCCAAGATAGATCCTCCAATCCAGACACTGTACTTTCTCTCTGGTGGTGCAACAACCTTAATCTTCATGCTGCTTGGAGCAAGGGCAGTGATCTCCTTGCTCATACGGTCTGCAATACCAGGAAACATAGTTGAACCACCACTGAGCACAATGTTACCATAAAGATCCTTCCTGATATCCACATCACACTTCATGATAGAATTGTAGGTAGTTTCATGGATTCCAGCAGCTTCCATCCCAATAAGAGATGGCTGGAAGAGGACTTCTGGACAGCGGAATCTCTCAGCTCCAATGGTAATGACTTGTCCATCAGGCAACTCATAGTTCTTCTCAACAGAAGAGCTGCTCTTGGCGGTCTCCAGTTCCTGTTCATAGTCCAGGGCAACATATGCAAGCTTCTCCTTCATGTCACGGACAATTTCCCGTTCAGCAGTGGTGGTGAACATGTAACCTCTCTCAGTAAGAATCTTCATCAAAGCATCAGTGAGATCACGACCAGCAAGGTCTAGACGGAGGATGGCATGTGGAAGAGCATATCCTTCATAGATTGGCACAGTATGTGAGACACCATCACCAGAATCCAGCACAATACCTGTTTCAATAGGGAGATAATTCAGTGTTAGCTTGATTAGGAATGATATATAAAAATATGAAAGAAGTTTACAGGGATTTAATGAACCTGTTGTACGACCACTGGCATACAAAGAGAGAACAGCCTGGATGGCAACATACATGGCGGGTACATTGAAGGTCTCAAACATGATCTGGGTCATCTTTTCTCTGTTGGCCTTGGGGTTGAGAGGTGCCTCTGTGAGAAGCACAGGGTGCTCCTCAGGAGCAACACGTAGCTCATTGTAGAATGTATGATGCCAGATCTTTTCCATATCATCCCAGTTGCTGACAATACCATGCTCAATGGGATATTTCAAAGTAAGGATACCTCTTTTAGATTGTGCCTCGTCTCCTACATAGGCATCCTTCTGACCCATCCCAACCATGACACCAGTGTGTCGTGGTCGACCAACAATGCTGGGAAAAACTGCCCTGGGAGCATCATCACCAGCAAAACCAGCCTGCATGACAAACAAAATTATCTCAACCACGATAAAGTAAAGCACTTTTCATAAAGAAATAAACAATGATGGAGAGTCTAACTCAGGTCCAGAAATAAACTAACCTTCACCATTCCAGTTCCGTTGTCACAGACAAGGGGTTGAATATCCTCAGCATCCGCCATCTTTTAAAATTCTACAAACAAGAATTGAGATATTGAATATAGCAAAATCAATTGTCAACCAGGGTCCTATGCCCTTTCAACTAATCTAAAAACAGCAAATCAATGTCTTCGACAAATCCAATTCTAGTTTTAACTAAATGAAAAAAAAAGAAACACTTAAGCAATCATTCCTTTCTTCGAATACATAAAATAAAACAGTTCAGTAATCAGTATCCTAGCTAGCTAATCACAAATTTCAGACAATTGAAAACGTAGACAACATTCATGGACAGTTAAGCAAGCTATTGGACAAGAAACTGAATCAATTATTCAAAGGAATAAAGATCAAGATTAGAGCCTTTAATTTCCCTCATAATAAATCTTGGAAAATCATTCAATTTACAAAATGAAAGCACTAATCAGAACAAGTTGGAAGCGAAAAAGTCAATTCTCACAACGATCTACAAAGAAATCGCAAATGTAATGAAGCAGATCAAGCTAAGTAAAGATCCAGATAGAAAAAGAAGTAGATCACGCTAAATCAAACTCTCTGGAAACTTGTAGAACCCTAGATCTCAGTTCCATAATCGGCAAGACATCAAAATCAAGCAACAGATCGGTGGATTTGAAGTGAAATAAAAGCGAGCTTAAAAGATTTACCTGAATAAGAAACGAACGGAGGAGCAGTTTTAGAGAGAGAAAGAGAGAGAGTGGAAGAAGAAGCAGAAAACGACGTCGCCTTTTTACCCTTTTCTCTCTTCCCTCTGGAGGAGACGGATGGAAATTGAGAGCGAAAGAAGAGAAAGAAAGGGGTATTTATATAAGAAAAAGGATTAATAAAGGACAGTTTGGGAATTTTTTAAATGCAAATGAAATTTGGAGGAAATTAAAAACTACAGGTAAGAATTTTGAAAATCCAAACGGGAATGGGAATCATTCCCACCACAATGAGAAAAGATCGCGTGACCTGGTTGAGAGCCTTTTTTCTCTCACCCCTGCCTTACGCCATGTTCTTCGCCAGTGGTAAGAAAAAAAAAATTTTTGAAAAAATTATCAATGGATTTAAAATCATAATATTAAATTTGAATTGATTTTTTATTTGATTTGAATATTAAATATATATTAAATTTTAAATTAAAAATAAATTAAATTATATATTTTTAAAAATAATTATAAAATAAAAATAATTATTTTATATCTAAATTTATTTAAATATATTAAAATTAGATCATAATGTATGAAATAATTTTATTTATTTAATATGAATATATATATAATTATTTTTTTTCAAAATTATATTTAAATTTTTAAAACGCATAGTATATATAAAATTTATATATATTGATTTATTATTAAGAACTAACTTTATGAAAACAATAAAAAAAATTATATCTTTCCTTTGAATATTTTTGTTTACAATAATATTTATACACATATAAAATTATATCAAATAAAAATAAATTATGCCTTTCTTAAAAAAATAAAAGTATATATTATTGAATGATAAATTAAATAACAAAAAAATTATTAACATATTTTCACTTTAATAATTTTGACTAAATTATTATGCAAAATATGAAAAAATATTAAAAAATATGTGAAAAAAATCAATTAAAAAAATATTATTTTTCATAAGAATTAAACTATAATAAAAATAAAATACATTCTTGAAAAAAAGTTATAAATAACAAAAAACAAATTGCAATAGTAATAAAATATACCTCAAAAAATTTATTGAAAAAATAAAAAATTGATGTATAATGCATTACATTTATAATCTTAAATTTGTAGAATAATTTTTTAATGACAGTTAAGATTAAATAATTAATTTTTAAATTAATTTTTTAAAATTTAATATAGATACAATAAGTGATAAAGATAATATTAAATTTTTTACATTTATTTAAAATATAAATTTGACAATTATAGTTTAAATGGATATAATCGTTTTGATAATTTTATTATTTAAAAATTTAAGATAAAAATTTTTTGAATTTTCAAAATCTTATATAAAATTACTTAAATTTTTAATGTCTTATATAAATTTTTTAAAAAGATAATTTTTTTTAAATGAAGATAAAAAAGATTGCTAAAAGATTTTGATAAACTTAATCTTTGTAATTTTTAAACATGTTTGAAATATTTTAATAATTAAAAATTTTTTTAAATAAGGTTATTTGATAAACAACTAAAATTATCTATTAAAAAAAATATATTTCATATTTCATATTTTTAATTTTAAAAAATATATCTCTAAATTGATTTAATTTTTAATTATAATTTGAACAATTTTGATATTTGAATAAATTTAAAATTATCTAATTTATAATTAAAAAAAATTATTTTATTTTTTAAAAAATGTATCTTATATGTTATTTAAGAGAGTTGTTCACATAGACGCTTATGTGATAAACTTGTTATGTATGTTGTTATATAATATATATATATATTATTAGATTTATATTAAAATAATATAAAATTTTAAATTTTAAAATCGATAAACTAAACTAATAAAATTTGTTTAGATTGAATCGATTTTAAAAAATTGATTTAAATTTGGATTAAATTTTAAAATTTTATAAACTATATATTATTTAAAAAATCAAATAAAATTTGATCTAATTCTTTGTTACTTTTATTTTTATCCTGAAATTTTATGATTTCTTAATATGATCCAATAGTTTCAACTTTCAAATTGATCTTTTTCATTTAAACTATAATATAATGAAGTAG